AGAACCTAGCAGCCATCCCCCAGCCCCCTCCAGAGCCTGTGCAGGCATATGACTGACTGCATCCTCTCCCCTCTCTCCTCTCTGCCCCAGATCAGTGGACCATCCCCTGCCCGGATCCTCTCTCTCCACAGACTATGGCAGCTGGCAGATGGTAACAGGCTGTGGCAGTATTCAGGAGCGGGCTGTCCTGCACACAGACTCCTCTCTCCCTTTCAGCTTCCCGGATGAGCTCCCTAACAGTTGTCTGTAAGTGTCTTGCTTGAGAAGGCAGGATGCTCCCCTGCCCGTGTGAAAAGCTGGTGAGCAGTCAGGAGTGCTGGGTAGGAATGAGGCAGAGGCTGGCGCTCAAGAGCTGGCCTGGCCTCCTGCCCTCCCCTCCCTCAGCTGCTGGACCCCTGAGGTATGAAGGAGGCCTATAGTTGGTCAGGAAGTGCACTGGTTTGTGTGTTCATTCTGTAGCCTCTAAAACCTATCCACTGGTGTCTCAGGTGTACCCAAAGGGAAAGCTGCTGGACTGTAAATATAGAAGATTCTATTTCTGTATAAGCCTTTGCCTGACATGAGAATCATTTGAAGGCAGAACAGTGGGATAGTGGAGGTAGGTGTGTGGTGGAGGCCAGAGCCAGAGTGGTGCTGGGTTAGCCCAAGGCTGTGCTCCTGAGAAGAATCTAGGGTTACTTGCCATCCCCACCCGCCTTGTCTTTTGTTTTTGCCTCTGGGCAGGAATAAGAATTAGATGGGAATTCTAGATCCCACACCTACAAAACCCTGAATCTCCAGCTCTTACAGTGTGTCCACCTGACTGAAGCGGCTGCCTCTGGGGGAACCACCTGTCCCTGGCCTGTTCTGCTGCTTCATGGATGTCAGGGAGGAGAAAGCCTCCGGTCGCTCAGGGAGCAAGATCTGCTCCTTGGGTCCTCACTGCCCACACCACAATCCAGCTCATCCCCACCCATGTTAGCAGGTTGGAGGCAAGATACCCTGGAGAGTTGGGAAGGAAAAGGGGGTCCTGGAACCTAGCGGAGGGCAGTCAGGAGCCAGTCAGACCTTGAAATTCCAGGATGGCACAAGATGTGGCCCTGCAGCTGTGAAGTCACCAAAGAGCTTCTGAGGTCACCGTGTCTGGCACAGCCTCCTCTGCAGCCAGCTCCTAGGCCAGAAACAAGATCTCTTAGATTTTTGAAGGGTTAAAAAACAATTGCACCTTTCTGTAGGGACTTCCTACTTCAGCCACATTTGCTCAAGAGCCATCTCTGAAGGAAGCACAGATATCCCTGTTTGACAGCACCCCTCCCTTACCTGGGGTTAGCCACTGAAACAGCCAACGCCGGCCCCAGGTCACCCAGCCTAGAGCCTACAATTTAGGCCCCAGGCAGCACGCTAAGCTCCTAGCTAATCCATTAGTTCTGGAAGGGTCTCAGAGAAGGGCTGGATTCTGTATGATCTCAAGGCCCCAAGATTGTGGGATGCAGTGAGTTGATTCCTGTGAAGACATGCAGCATGTGGGTTCACACTTGAGCTTTGCTATCAGAGAAACTTAAGTCCAAATACTTGCTGCTCTACTCAGTAGCTGTATCTTCAAGTGTCAGGCTTGCCGTTTCTGAGCCTGTTAGCTCATCTCTCCAGAGGGAATGGCACTGTGGTACCTCCTTTGCCTGGTGTGTGTCCTTAAATAGATCACAGATCCTCTCCTGTTTTCTTGTGTCTTAGTAGGTTGTGGTCTCTGTCCCTTCCGCCCCCCAGAAATGGGCAGCCATGGCAGGGGGTGGGCAGGACAGTTAGAACGCTCATGTATGCATCTTTGGTTGTCCCCCTGTGAGTGTAAACTATTGGTCTATTTCTCCCTTGTATGCTACAAGGAGAAGCTGAGGCAAACATGCGTGGCCTTTGGCCTGTGTGAAACCTAATTAGAAAGTAAAGATCTCGGGCCTTGCTTCTCCCCCAGTTGCCAGGGAAAGACTTCGGCACTGTTCCTGGTAGTGCAGGAATGCGATCTCAGCTCCATGTTCTTAGTGCTGCTGCAGGAGTGATTTGACTTTTCTTTGCCCCAGAGCCTACTGCTTCCGTACTTCACATTTCACTCCACCAATATGCTTTCCTTAGAGTCCCGTCTGTCTCCCCTGCTTACTTACCCCAGGACTGTCATTTATCCTCAGACCTCCCTCTGCTCCCACAAGCCCTGAGGTACAAGTCATTGAGGCTTTGGGATTCTGCTGCCTCTGACAGATTTCCAGGGAGGGACTGTGCAGGATTGGTTTCTTGGGGACAGATTTGGAGCAAGATTAGTAGCCATGGCTGGTCTTACTATTTAAGTGGTTGGGAATATGAGGGCTCTTCTCATATAGGTCTGTGACCCCTAGAGAGGGCCTTCCAGGGACTCGTCAGAGAAATGCCATGTGAGTACCTGACCTTTGAGTCCAGAGGTTGGATATAGCCGGCACCACGGACCTTTTCTATTAAAGGCCCTTTGGGATGTCACACAGCCTCATGTGGAGTCATACTTTCATAAGCCTGAGTTGCGTGTACTTGTTTCCCTTCTTAACTTGTAATTCCAGGGTAAGGAGAGAAGAGGGGCTTTCATCTGTGATCAGAGCCTACAGAGGCCAAGAGAGGAAAGGGGGATAGAATCAGAACACAGATCTTTCTGGAAAAGCCAATACCCTTTCAGCTGTTTACCTGAGAACCACAGTGACTGAAGGTGGAGCTAAAGCCCTAGAGGTTTCCAGTGGGGAACCCTGGCCTCACCCTGGCAGCAGTGGGTTCTTCCAGGGCAAGAGCTTCCTCCTAAGATACGACATGTCTAAGCCTCAAGGCTGAGGCCTTTCTTTTTTCTTTCTTTTTTTTTTTTTTTTTAAACACAGTCTCACTCTGTCGCCTAGGCTGGAGTGCGGTAGCGCAATCTGGCTCACTCTAACCTCTGCCTCCCAGGTTCAAGTGATTCTCCTGCCTTCAGCCTCCCAAGTAGATGGGATTACAGACACATGCCACCATGCCTGGCTAATTTTTGTGTTTTTAGTAGAGAGGGGTTTTGCCGTGTTGGCCAGGCTGGTCTTGAACTCCTGAGCTCAAGTGATCTACCCACCTCAGCCTGCCAAAGTGCTGGGATTACAGGTGTGAGCCACCATGCCCAGCCAAGGCTGAGGCCTGTTGCCAGATTTGGGGGGCCTCCTTACTGTTAGGTGTAAAACAGAGAACTGCTGAGGAAGATTCCCTCCTTCCTTCCCAGTGACCGCAGACATAGTTATTTTCCCAACAGATCAGGTCAGGCCAGGCATGGTGGCCCATGCCTATAATCCCAGCACTGTGGGAGGCCAAGGTAGGCAGATCAGTTGAGTCCAGGAGTTTGAGACCAGCCTAGGCAACATGGCAAAACCCATCATGGTGGCACGTGCCTGTAGTCCCAGCTACTTGAGGGGCTGAGGTGGGAGGATGGCTTGAGCCCGAGAGGTTGAGGCTACAGTGAGCCCTGATTGTGCCACTGTACTCCAACCCGGGCAATAGAGTGAGCCCCTGTCTCAAACAAAATTTTTTTTCTTACTTAAAAAAGAAAGGTTAGTGCCACGGTAAGAGTTCCTGCTGTAGGTGGGAACAGTAGCCTGAAGGTTAGAGGAATAGTTTAAGGGAAAACAGGGCCAGATATTTGGGGCCTGAACCACAAGGATAGTGTGACCACAGGACAGACACTGGCCCTGTGCAGTCAGAAGCACGAGGACTGGTGGTGTGGAGGGAAGATGAGGATGAGGATGCTGGGTCCTGTCCCAGGGTAATGTCTTTGTTTTCTCTTTTCCTCCCCGTAGGCTTGCAGCCCTGAGCGATCGAGAGACTCGGCTGCAGGAGGTGCGCTCAGCCTTCTTGGCTGCTTACAGCAGCACGGTGGGGCTTCGGGCAGTAGCCCCCAGTCCCTCTGGTGCCATTGGGGGCCTGCTGGAGCAGTTTGCCCGTGGTGTTGGACTCCGGGGCATCAGCAGCAATGCCTTGTGAAGAAGCCAGCCCATGACAGTTTCCTGCTCCTCTCTCAGCTGAGCCCTTAGCAGAATCAAAGCCATGCCTGGCCAAAGGGGTACTTCCAGGTCAGGGGGAAATCTCATTCCCCCTTCTCCATCATGTACATGGCAGCCCCAAAGCTGAGCAAGGCCAAAGACAGGGTTTTCCAACCCCCAGCCTCTTGACTGGTGACCACCACCCCTTCTTGTCACTGTCTCCCACCCACCCCATCTTTGCTGGGATTCCCATCAACTCTCAGAACTATGTGGGATTTCCCTGGGGCCTTGCGGAAGCCGTGACTTCACAAAGACCCTACCTCTCAATTCTTGTTTCCTGGGGAGGAGGGATCACCTGCACTGAGAATGAGGCAGTTTGACACAGATCACAAAATAAAATTGAAGTCTTTTTGAACAGCCCCTCTCTCTTGGGTCCTCATTTGGTTGCTGTCTTTGTGGAGCTATTAGGAAGGTTCTTGTTGTCCTTCCTTGTGCTAGACAAGGGATGTTTAAGTGGAGGGCAGGTAAAACAGGAAGAGAACTGGGGACAGGTGTACCTCCCCACTCATGAGCCATGGTCATCCCTGCAGTGGCAGTGGGGACAGTACTCAAGACTATTAGGAGTAGTGGTTCTCAAGCCTAAGCAGGCCCTAGTCACCTAGGGGGCTGGTTTAGCTGTGCACATTCTCTGGGCTGCCTGAGCTTTAGGCTTAGGATTGCTAAGGAAGTTTCCTGGGAATGAAGAGGTAGAGGATCTTGATCTTTTTTTTTTTTTTTTTTTTTTTAGGCAGTCTCACTGTCACCGAAGCCGGAGTACAGTGGTGCAATCTTGGCTCACTGCAGCCTCCACCTCCCGGGTTCAAGTGATTCTTCTGCCTCAGCCTCCCAAGTAGCTGGGACTACAGGCATTCGCCACCATGCCCAGCTATTTTTTGTATTTTTAGTAGAGATGGGGTTCACCATATTGGCCAAGCTAGTCTCGAACTCCTGAGCACAAGTGATCCACCCGCCTTGGCCTCCCAAAGTACTGGGATTACAGGCGTGAGCCACTGCGCCTGGCCAGGATCTTCATCTTTTAACACGTTCTGTAGGCAGCACGGTCCTGGTACAGATGACCTGCAGCCCCTGCCTTGAGCCCTGCCTATGGAGCAGGGACTGGCTTCTGAAGCTGGAGATAGCAGCGGGTGCACATGTGTGGTTGGGAAGGGCCTGACTGACTACCACCCTCTTCTACAGTGTGACCTACAGTAGATTGCATCATGGCAGTGTGTCTGCATCTATAACACCGTGAAAGTCGTGAGGGTTCAAAAGCATGGGCAGATGGCTTTGCACCATGTTTAACAGCCACCATTTACTGTCATCAGTATGAATACCCAGAGGACAAATTAATATACCAGTGAATGTTATATTGAGCACTTGCTTTGTGCTAAGTGCTTTCCTTGGATTATCTCAGTAAAATTGTACAGTACCTCAAGTAGCTGCTGTTACAGTGTTTCCATCAATGAGATTGAGCCACAGAGATGTTGAGTAACTTTAAGGTCACACAGCTAATAAGAAATGTACTTTTCCTATTCAGAGACCTAGGCAGGATGGGAGTGGGAAAGGGCAGAAACACTAAGGGAGTGGCTCAGTAAGAGCTAACAACCGCAGTGCCCACCAGCTGCCCCAAATGTTTCAGCATCATGGACAACTCTAGGGGGCTTGGGTTTCCACCCCAGAGAGTAGGTCAGACTCTACCAAGGTGTGGGTTGGAGTTGAGGGTCGGGTGAGGTTTCCCGCTGGCTCCACGCTGCTCCAATGGGGCGCGGGCCGCCCGCAGGGCCGGGCGGGGCTGTGCTGCCATCTGGAGCTGCTGCCGCCGGCGGCCACTGTCAGGGCGCGAGCGGCGGGAGCGCACGCAGGGCTGGAGGGAGTGCAGCCACTGTCGCCGCCGCCGCCGCCGCCGCCGCCGCCGCCGAGGCACATGGGCCGGCCCCGCCGCTGCCGTTGCCCCTAGCTCCGGCAGCCCTGGTCTCGCAGCCTCCTGCAGCTCGGGTCGCCCGACCAGCCATGTCTCTCGGCGGAGCCTCCGAGCGCAGCGTCCCGGCCACCAAGATTGAAATTACCGTGTCGTGCCGGTGAGCGGGCCGCGCTGGGGAGGGCTTAGGCATTGGCACAGCCCCATCCCCGGGGCTCAGCCCGGGCAGAGGCTAGACCCCGGGGGAGAGGTGTAATTGGCTGGAAAATCACAGCTGATGACGGGAGTCGCTGGTGGGATGGAGAAGGGGGGGATCTTGGGCAGCCCCACCCCGCAAAAGAGGGCTCAGCCTGCGGGTTTGGGAGTGGGTCGCAGGTACCCAGTAGGAGCTCGGCCCCAGGAGGACAAAGTTCTGGGGCGAACCCTCTTTCCTGGGCCCTTGGCGGCAGTGTGGGTGCATTCGCGTCCAGCGGGTTAGAGCCATGGTTCCTGGACAGCGATTTCCGGTGCTGTCCAGAGTGCTGACAGCGCGGACCCCAGCTGGGGGTAGTCATGAGGGACAGAGGTTCGCTGCGAGCCCTATGTCTCCCCTCAGTGCCGGGCTCAGAGCCGACTCGCGGCGGGCTCCAGGATGATCCACTCTCTGTCTGTTGCTTTTCTCTAGGAACCTGCTAGACCTTGATACCTTCTCCAAGTCCGACCCCAGTAGGCGGCTCCAGGACCGGGAGGGGGAACTTGGGGTCTGGGCGCGACTCAGGGGCGGGTGGAGTAGGGGAAAGGGGTGCCAGCCGACCTGACGTCCTTCCCTCCCCGCCCCCACCTGCAGTGGTGGTGCTTTACACGCAGAGCCAGGCCAGCCAGGAGTGGCGGGAGGTGAGTCCCAGAGCCCCATCTCCCGGCCCAGGGCCGCGCCCGGGACTGCACGTCCCATGCTGACCCTCCACCCCCCTGCCCAGTTCGGACGGACCGAGGTGATCGATAACACGCTGAACCCAGACTTCGTGCGCAAATTCGTCCTCGACTATTTCTTTGAGGAAAAGCAAAATCTGCGCTTCGATGTGTGAGGCCCCGCCCGGAATTCTGTCTTGGCCTGCCCCTCGACCTGGATCCACCCAGAATTCTGGCTGGCCCCACCCCCGCCTCGTCTCCCGGCCTGGTTCTTCCCCCAGGCCTCCCTCCCATTCTGAAGGGCCCCCTCTAGTCTGAGCCCTGCCCTCCAGTGATAAGTGGTCCAGTTCTGTCCCCCTGCTCTGGCCCCACCCACCACTCTGCTCCTATCGCAGCCCGACCACTTCAGGCCCGACCCCTTCCAGACGACCCTGCCCCCAGCAGCCCCTGACTTGGCCTCGACCCAGGTTTGACCCTCTTCCACCCTGACTCCTGCCCCAAAGGAGACCAAAGCTGAATTTGGGTCCACAGCTACCCATTCCTCCACCCAAAATGTTCACCAAGACTCGGTGCCCGACCCCTTTCCAGCCTCTCCCCCAGCCAGCCCCACCCCACACCGGTTCCACTCTTTTCCTAGGTACAACGTGGACTCCAAAACCAACATCTCCAAACCGGTGAGCAAGCATTTCCTCGAGGTTTGGCAGAGTTGCACAGGAGGTGCTTAGATGTGTTAAAAGACCCTTAGAACTTGTAACTCTCGGCCAGACCCCATCTTCTTCAGGCCCCCAACCCACCCTCCTGCGCCCTCTCCTCCTGCCTGAGTGTCCTCCCTGTGCCCCCGACTCACTGTTCCTCTTCCTTCTTGGCTGCCACTGCTGGGACTTGCAGAAGGTGAGGCTGAATGGGGCTGGGCAGAGGCTGGGGACACAGGCTTAGACTGATGACCCATCACGAGGCAGCGATTGCCACAGACCCCTTCTTTCACACCCCCTCCTTTAAAGCCCATGCTGGGCAGTGGCTCTTACACCACTCACCTGCCTGGGAACTGGCCTGGTCCTGGGCAGGAGCCTCACCGGGGCTGGGCTGGGACTCAGCACTCACAGAGCTTCTGGTCTCACTGACTCTTTGTCTTGCATAGGATTTCCTGGGACAAGCGTTCCTGGCCCTGGGAGAGGTGATTGGAGGCCAGGGCAGCCGCGTAGAGCGAACCCTCACGTAAGCTGAATGAGAAGGGGTGTGGGAGTGGGGTGGAGACTTCCAAATTATCCTTCCGAAAGATGCCACTGACTGATAGTAGTGGAGGCTGGGATTCCCCCCTGGTCAGGACAGCACTGGCTCCCATCACCCTCGTAGGAAAATCCAATCTTCAAGGCTCTGCCCAAGTCAGTCTCAGGCCTGACATGTCCTCTTTCTTTCTTTCTCCTCACTCTTTTTCTAAGTGTGATTCAACCTTTAAGGTCCATTTTCAAGCCCCTCTCCACAGGGAAGCTCCCCTGGACTAAATCAAATCCACAGGAATTTCCATTACATCCACTCATTAAATATGCATTAGCATGTTTTATATGCCACACCCTGTTCTAGGCACCCAGGGCTTCATCCATTCCACAAGCACTATGTATACCTACCCTATGTTAGCCACTCCTAAAGGAGACTAGCTTGCAGTGGTGAACAAAACAAAGGTTCTTGTCCTCAGGGGGCTGGATACTCTAGTTGTTGGGGGGAGGACAGCACAAAATAGACATAAGTAAATTACATAGATTAGACAATATTAAGTGCTATGGGGAAAGAGATCAGTAGAGCAGAATAAGGGGAACTGGAAATGCTGGGTGAGTGGGAGGTGCAGGATTCAACAGTGTGGTTGAGCAGGCCTCATGGACAGGTAACTTTGGATCAACAACCTGGGGAGGTGAGGGAGTAAATGGTACAGACATATGGAGGAAGAAAGCTCCAGGCAGAGGAAACTGTCAGTGCAAAAGCCTGGTGCATTCAAAGAACGGAAAGGAGGCCAGTATGACTGTAGCCAGGTGACTGGGAGGCAGGAGGAAGTGAGGTTAGAGAGCTAACAGGGCCTTGCAGTGGACTCCCACCTTTACTCTGAAATGGGAGTCACTGGAGGGCTCTGAGCAGAGGAGTACCATGATATGACTGCTTGCAAAGGATGGTGCTAGCGGTGGGGTTCAGAATAAACCTTGGGTGGCCAAAGGTAGAAGCAGAGAGCCAATGAGAAAACTCTGACAGTAATCCAGCACGCTACCAGTGAAGGAGGGGAGAAGTGGTCAGATTGAGGATATATTTTAAAGGTGGAGCTAACAGGTTCCTGATAGATTGAATATGAATGTGAGAGGAAAAGAGGAGTTGAGGGCAATACCAAGGTCTTTGGCCTGAACAACAGGAAAGATGGAATTGACACCAGGTGAGAATAGTGGGGGGAAAAAAAGCAATGAAGACCCAGACATGATGGTATGCACCAGTAGTCCCAGCTACTCAGGTGGCTGAGGTGGGAGGATCACTTGAGCCCAGGAATTTGAACTCCTGGGCTCAAGCTTGGGTGACACCCCAAGCTGGGTAACAGAGTGAGACTCTGCCTCTGGACAAAAAACAAACAAACAAACAAAAAACATGTGAAGGAGAAGCAAGTTGGGGGAGGAATTCAATCATGAGTTCAGTCTGACATGTTGAATTTTATGTTTCATAAACATATAAAACGTTAGACATCCAAGTGGAGGTATCAAATGAGTCCTGGATGCTGGTTTTGTTGTTGTTATCTTCAAGACAGGCTCTTACTCTGCAGCCCAGGCTGGAGTGCAATGGTGCAATGATAGCTCACTGCAGCTCAAGTTCCTGGGCTCAAGGAATACTTGCACTGAAGCCTCCCAAGTAACCAAGTAGCTGGGACTACAGGTGGATGCCAGCAGGCCCAGCTAATTTTTAAATTATTTTTTCTAGAGACAGGGGGGCCTCACTGTGTTGATCAGGCTGGTCTTGAACTCTTGTCATCAAGTGGTTCTCCTGCCTTGGCCTCCCAAAGTGCTGGGATTACAGGCATGAGCCACTGAGGCCGGCCTTAGATGTTAACTTTAAAGCTATGCTATTAGATAAGATCACCAAAGGAGGGAAGGAATGATAGGAGAAAAAAAGAGAGAAAGAGACTAGAGAGAGAGAACCAAAGACTGAGGCTCCACAAATTGGACCTAGAAAAGAAGACTGAAAAGGAGCAATTAATGAAGTTGGAGGAGAAGCAAGAGAGGGTGATGTCATCATGGAAGCAAAGAAAAGAGTATCAAGGAGAGAGTTACCAACCACGTCAAATGCTGCTGCAGCTCAGATATGATGAGGATTGGGAATTGACCATTGCATTTAGCAAGATGAAAATCCCTGGTGACTCTTTTTTTTTTTTTTTTTTTTGAACGGAGTTTCGCTCTTTGTTGCCCAGGCTGGAGTGCAATGACGTGATCTCAGCACTGCAACCTCCACCATCCAGTTTAAGCGATTCTCCTGTCTCAGTCTTCTGAGTAGCTGGGATTATAGGCACCCGCCACCATGCCCAGCTAATTTTCGTATTTTTAGTAGAGACAGGGTTTCACCATGTTGATCAGGCTGGTCTCAAACTCCTGACCTCAGGTGATCCGCCCGCCTCCCAAAGCACTGGGATTACAGGTGTGACCACCGCACCTAGTCCCTGGTGACTCTTACAAGCATAGTTTTGAAGGAGAGATGGAGGTGAAGAGAATGGAAGAAGAGGATGGGAGTCAAGGAATTTTCCAAGGAGTTTTACAGCAAAGGGCAGAAGAGAAAAGGAGATGTGTGACCGGGCACCATGGCTCATGCCTGTAATCCTAGCACTTTGGGAAGCCAAGGAGGGTGATTCACTTGAGGTCCGGAGTTCCAGACCAGCCTGGCCAACATGGTGAAATCCCACCTCCACTAAAAATACAAAAAAATTAGCTGGGAGTGGTGGTGCACCCTTGTAACCCCAGCTACTCAGAAGGCTGAGGCAGGACAATCACTTGAACCCGGAAGCAGGAGGTTGCAGTGCGCCAAGATCAAGCTACTGTACTCCAGCCTAGGCAACAGAGGCAGATTCTGTTTCAAAAAAGAAAAGGAAAAAAAATAAGGGAAAGGAGATGTGGCTGAAGCAGGAAGGGAGGTCAAGAATAAATTTATAATGTTTTAACACAAGGCCGGACCCGGTGGCTCACTCCTGATCTCAGGTGATCCACCTGCCTTGGCCTCCAGATGTGAGCCACTACGCCCGGTTTTTAGGAGGTCGAGGCAGGCGGATCACCTTAGGTCAGGAGTTCGAGACCAGCCTGGCCAACATGGTGAAACCCCATGTCTACTAAAAATACAAAAAATATCTGGGCATGGTGGAGTGTGCCTGTAATCTCAGCTACTTGGGAGGCTGAGGCAGGAGAATCACTTGAACCCAGGAGGCAGAGGTTGCAATGAGCCAAGATAACACCATTGCACTCCAGCCTGGGTGACAGATCGAGACTCCTTCTCAAAAAAAAAAAAAAAAAAAAAAAAAATTAACATGAGATAAATTATACGACACTGGCCAGGTGTAGTACAATGCCAGCTACTCTGGAGGCTGAGGTGAGAGGATCACTTGAGCCCAGGAGTACAGGAGCAGCCTGGGCAACATAGTGAGACTCCATCTCTCCAAGGAAAATTATACCACATTTACATATTGATGGGAATGCCCGAGTAGAAACTGAAAACTTGATGTAATAGAAGGAGGTGAGCGTTACTGAAGTGATTTTCTTGTGCAGACAAGACAGTATGAAATGTAGTACACAGTGGAGGGATAAATAGGCACAGGACAGTTCATTTATAGCAACTGTAGGAGTCACACTTGTGTGGGTGAAGACACTGGTGGCAGTGTAGGTGTCATGGTGGGTGGACATTCTCTTCTGGTTGCTTCAATTTTGACAGTGAGTAGGAAACAAGGTCACTGGCTGAGAATAAGGATGGGGGAGGAGGTTTTAGGGGTTGAGGAGAGAGAAGGAGTGAAACTGCCGTCTACCAAAACTGGAGAGTGAAGGGCCTCAGGATGTACAGTATGACTGAAGCAGCATTAAGGATCCTCTTGAGGTCTGCAGTCATGCATTTAAAATGACACAAGTTCACATAATTGTGTGTTTTTGTCTGGCCTTGTTCAGTTTCATAGGTGCAGTATGGGTTAGGCAGAGTTAGGCTTCATTATAGCTGTGGTTCTGCCAAACAAGTATAGCGAAAGTAAGACAAAAGGTTGGGCATGTGGTTCACGCCTGTAATCCAAGCACTTTGGGAAGTTGAGGCAGGAGGCTCTCTTGAGGCCAGGAGTGTTCAAGACCAGTCTGGGCAACATATCCAGATCTTGTCTCTACAAAAAGGAAAAATTAAAAACTTAGCCAGGTGTAGTGGTGTGCACCTGTAGTCTCAGCTACTTGAGAGGCTGATGTGGGAGCATCTCTTGAGTCCAGGAATTTGAGGCTTCAGTGAACTATCATTGTGCCACTGCACTCCAGCCTGGGTAACAGAGTGAGACCCCAACTCTTTTTTTTGCGACAGAGTTTCACTCTTCTTGCCCAGGCTGGAGTGCAATGGCACGATCTCAGCTCACGACAACCTCCACCTCCCGGTTTCAAATGATTTTCCTGCCTCAGCCTCCCGAGTAGCTGGGATTACAGGCATGTGCCACCATGCCTAGCTAATTTTATATTTTTAGTAGAGACAGGGTTTCTCCATGTTGGTCAGGCTGGTCTCAAACTCCTGACCTCAGGTGATCCACCTTCTTCGGCCTCCCAAAGTGCTGGGATAAAAGCATGAGCCACCACATCCGGCCTGAGACCCCAACTCTTGAAAAAAAAAGTGAGAGAAGGGGAAAATAGACAGGATGCAAGGGAATGACTATTATAATCACCGACTGGAATTCACACTGGATGGATAAGGTGGTAAGGGAGAACATCAAGGAGGCAAAGAACAGTAAGAAGGTAACAAGATCAACAATTTGTTGGTCCCAGATGTTCAGGCAAATTATCCATTTATTTATTTGTTTATAAGAGATGGAGTCTCACTCTGTCGGCCAAGCTGGAGTGCAAGAGCTTGATCTCGGCTCACTACAAACTCTGCTTCCTGGGTCAAGTGATTCTCCAGCCTCAGCCTCCCAAGTAGCTGGGATTACAGGCACCCAACATCATGCCCGACTAATTTTTTTGGTACTTTTAGTAGAGACGGGCTTTTACCATATTGGTCAGGCTAGTCTCAAACTCCTGACCTCAGGTGATCCACCCGCCTCAGCCTCCTAAAGTGCTGGGATTACGGGTGTGAGCCACCATGCCCAGCTGTAGGCGAATAGTCCCTATCCTCATCACATTCCCTCTTTGTAAAGCACAAAGAGTCAAAGACCAAAGGAGCCAAAGAAATAGTTCAACTCTGCTATAAAAGGATGTTTTAGACTGGGTGAAAAAAAAAAAAAAAAAGAAATAGTTCAACTCTCATTCTAAGGATAGGGAAAATCACATAGCAAGTTAGAGCCAGTGCTGGGACCTAGGACCCTAGTTTTCTCTCTGCCACATTTTGGATCCCTTTGGGAATCAGGGTTTGCAGGCCCCTATCAAAGCAACAAGTTCTCTTCCTGCTGGGGATAGGGGTCCTTCTATGCATTGTTCAAGCAGATGGAAGTGTTCCTTCTAGGATCAGGAAAGGATAAGGTCCCCTTGTCTTTAAAATCTTCCTCTCCATGGTCTTCAGAAAGAACATCAGCTTTGACCTAACAAACTGCCCTTTTGTTCCTGGGTCTGGACAGAACTTCTCCCTTATTCAGCATCACTGCTTACCTATTGGCTTTGACATTCCACCTCCCCCTGCCCCCAAACTCCCTGCGGGCAGTCTAGCAGAGCTGGAGAGTGCCAATTGCCCAATTCGTATCTATCACAGCACCCAGCATATAGTAGGAACCAGAGTCGGCTTTGAAGAATACAACCAGCTCATATCTGTAAAGCTTACGAGTTGCTTTTCCTTCCATGCACTCATTCAGATCTCTTCACAGCCCTGACAAGTCATCATGCTGTCCATTTCATAGAGAAAAAAACTAAGGCCGAGGAAGGGGAATAACTTGCCCAGGGTCACACAGCTTAACAATCATAAAATCCACTGACTCTGAATCTCATGTCTTTCTCACACTACTTTTGTGAGATGTTCACCTAAGCTGGTCTGAGCCCTTTTTACAGACCCCACCCAGTCAAAGTGAGGCCCTTCCTCACCAGAAGGCATTCAAGACAGAAGGGGCTGAATCCCCTGGCCCACCTAACCCCAGACTGGACTCAGTCCTTGTTGCCTACCCTCCCTCCTCTCACTAAGAGGCTTTTTCTGCTTCCAGGGGTGTACCAGGCAAGAAGTGTGGGACCATATTGCTGACTGCAGAAGAGCTTAGCAATTGTCGGGTCAGTAAGGGCCACATGCTAGACCCAGGAGCTCCCTTCTCTCCCCATAAGCCCTTTAATGGACTGTCTGAAGGCTATGGGCAATTTGGATGTCACCAGCCCAACTTCATCCATCCCTAGGACATTGCCACCATGCAGCTGTGTGCAAACAAGCTGGACAAGAAGGACTTTTTTGGGAAATCAGACCCCTTCCTTGTGTTCTACAGGAGCAATGAAGATGGCACGTGAGTCACTGCCATCAGGGCTCTTAGACTGGAGGAGGGGCATGTGCTTCACAAATGGGGGATCTCAGGAATCTCTGAGGGCATCAGGCTCTGTCTCTGGATTCAGTCCTACCCCTGGTCTGCGATAAATTATACCAATCCCTCCCACTCCCCTCTAGGTTCACCATCTGCCACAAGACAGAGGTTGTGAAAAACACGCTGAATCCTGTGTGGCAGCCCTTCAGCATCCCTGTGCGGGCTCTGTGCAATGGAGACTATGACAGGTTGGCTTCAGCATAAGCTGGGGAGTAAGGAGCCGAGGACATGCCAGTGGGGTTCCTGGGCCCAAGAATAATAGTAGAAGTATCCTAATAGCATTGGATGGTCCTGCTCAGTGAGACAGAGTTTGGGACATGAGGTTGGGTGGAAGGAGAGGCAGATGAATAGCCACACAGATGGAAAGGTGGACTACCCAGGGATGGATCAACTGATGGATGGAATGGTAGGTGGACAAGTAGATGAAGGGGGAGAAGAACAAATAATAAGCAGATACATGAATGGATTGCTGGATAGGTAAACTGGTGAATGGCTGGATGCGTATGCGGATGGACATATAAATGAATTGGTGGGTGGGCAGAAGGGCAGACAAATGAATGGATAGCAGATGAATGGATAATTGGACTGATGGGTGGATTTGCGGATATACAGATGATGGGTGATTAACAGATGGATGAGCTAATGGATGAGTGGGTGGGTGATAAATGAATAAATGAGAGTTTGATGGATGACTGGGGAGGCAGGAGGATGAATTGAAAAGCAGGTGGAATACAAAAAGATAGGTAGATTGACAAGCGGATTGATGGTTGGATAGGTGAATAGATGGCAAATGGATGAATGGATGGATTTGTGGGTGAATTAGTTGATAAATGGGTATAAAGTAGATGGATAGGCAAACCAAATGAGTGAGCAAATGGGTGATATAAAGGTAGATGGTAGGTGGGAGGGTGGAAGAACGGATGGGCACATGAATGAGTAGATGAATGACTATGCTGATGAGTGGATAACCAGACGGATAGATGTTATATAGTTGGGTAGATGCATAGACAGACAGATGGATGCTTGCATGCCTCAGTGAGTCAATGAATGGCTAAACGTATAGGTAGGTGGCTAAAGAGATGAACTGATAGGAAATTGGACTGGCAAATGTATGGGTAAATAGGTAGCTAGATGGATAGATAAGATGGTTGGATGGGCTGATATACTGATAGGTAGATATATGGAATGATTTAGGGATGACAGTTAAGAACAAAGTCTTTGGAATCAGGATGCCTGAGTTTAAATCTCAGTTCAGTCATTTACTAGCTATGGGATCTTAGCCAAATTGCTTTTTTCGTGTGTGTATCTCAATTTCCTTATCCCAAAATAAGAATAATGATACTTACTTTACATAGGATGATTGTTAAGTTAAATGAGACAATCTGTGAATGTGCTGAGAACAATGCCTGGAATACAGTAAGGCTCGGAGTGGTACAGAAAAAAAAACAAAAAAAAGTACTCGTGGTACTAACAGTAGTAGTATTAATAGGGGTAGATGGCTGGGTACAGGCATGGACTAATGAATGAATAGACACGATGGGACGGGAGGTAGGTTTAAAGATGAACAAGTTAATGGAAAGACAAATGGGTGGATGGGGAGGTGATATGTATATGGTTAAGTGTATGAGGTGTCTCTGGGGTTTATCATACACACTCAGCATATGTTTATCTCCTACATTTCAGAACAGTGAAGATTGATGTGTATGACTGGGACCGGGATGGAAGGTAGAACTGCCCCACATGGTCCCTTCTCCTGTACTTGACCCAAGCAGTTCTCAATAATATGTTGTACATTCACTGAGAACCCCAAAGTAGCTTTGGGAGCCAGGAAAGGTGATGATAAACACCAGTGTCTTGGGTAAAACTGATCTCCCCATCGCCTCTCGGACACTGTCTCTTCCCATTTTTCCCTATGTTTGGCCTCCCTTCTGGCCCCAGCACTAGGGCCCTGCGGCCTAAGTAGGGGCTTAGGATAGGAGGAATAAAAGATTGGTTTCAGGTCTGGTTCCAAACCAGCAGCAGCTGCTGCTTAGCCATGCCTACCTCACTGCAGCCACGATTTCATTGGTGAGTTCACCACCAGCTACCGGGAGCTGAGCAAGGCCCAGAACCAGTTCACAGTATATGAGGTGAGCATTTCAGCCTTGCCCAGGTCACCCAGGCCCTCTGTCCTAGTGTGCTCAGTCTGGACCTCTCTTCCTTTGTTTCTTATCATCACTGTTACCTCCACTTAGGTCCTTAACCCTCGGAAGAAATGTAAGAAGAAGAAATATGTCAACTCGGGAACTGTGAGTGCTCCCTGGAACTGTGGCCCTCCCTGGATCCTTCCATGTCTGTCCCCACTGACACAGCATGACAAATGTTGAGGGCAAGGCAAGACAGTGGACACAGATTACTTGGAATAGTAATATTGGCCACAAGGAGCACTGCTTAACTTTTTCTTTGTTTTTTTCTCAGGAAAATTTTCAGATTTTACTCTTTTGCAGAATGAAAGAAAAAAAACTAAGTTGCATTTCCCAATTTAATATACTTTTGGAAAGCCAACTATGTTTCTGACAGCTTCCCCTTTTTTCCTTGTCAGAAGTTGAACAGGGTGGGGCTGGCTGGGGGAGCGGGTAGAATCATTTGCCTCAAGTCACGTGCCTCCTTCCAAACCCCATGTGCCTCACTCCCTTCTACCACCCCAACTGCCTTTTCCAAAGTGATAGGGCTGCCTATTCTATCCCACAGGTGACGCTGCTCTCCTTCTCTGTGGACTCTGAATTCACTTTTGTTGATTACATCAAGGGAGGGTGAGTCACAGGCCAAACTCTGGGCTGAAAGCCTAACAATAAATTACTCCCAGTTCTGAGCCCCAGGTTTCTTATTTATGAATGGTCAGGGCTTAGTGACATGGAGATAAATTTTAAAACACTTGGCCAACTACAAAGTGCTCTGTAAAATGCAAAATACTGCTCCTCTTAGTTCCCGTCATGGGGCTGCCTTACATTCTTAGCTTTCAGCTCCTTCATGGCTCCCAGACCAGTGGTCTTCATTGGTGGCCCCAGTAACCTAATTGGAGCCAAACGAAGTTATATTCAGGCAAGAGGAAAAGGTAGAGAGAGTGGGAAAAACCAAGCAGACTATAGGGGACATTCTGCTTGGTCTGGAGGAGGCAGGCAGACCTGGGAAAGGTACTTTGCTTCTCTGCACTTCACTTTTCTCTTATGTAAAATGGGGATTTTTTTTTTGAGATGGAGTTTCTGACATTTTGGGCTGGATGATAAAATAAAATAAAAAATAAAAAAAAAAGAGAGAAGGAGTTTCGTTCTTGTTGCTCAGGCTGCAGTGCCATAATGAGATCTCGGCTCACCACAACCTCCACCTCCCAGGTTCAAGTGATTCTCCTGCCTCAGCCTCCAGAGTAGCTGGGATTACAGGCATGCGCCACCATGCTTGGCTAATTTTTTGTATTTTTATTAGAGACAGGGTTTCTCCATGTTGGTCAGGCTGGTCTTGCACTCCCAACCTTAGGTGATCTGCCTGCCTCGGCCTCCCATAGTGCTGGGATTATCCACCAGGGATGAGCCACAACACCCAGCCAAATGGGGATATTAAGTACTACTTCAGGGCTATAGTAAGGCTTAAATTAAATGACATTTAATACACTTGCCACACAGTAGGCATTTAATTCTGCTGCCTGAAATGTGGTCCATGAGCCAGCAGCATCAGCATTACTTGGGAGTTTGTTAGACTCTACCCAGATCATCTGGATCAGAATCTGCATTTTAACGTGAGCCCCAGGTGATCCATATGTACATTATTGTTTGAGAAATCGTGATGTAATAATTATTAGTTCCTCACTTCTCAACTCATCTGCTTCCCCAACAGGACACAGCTGAACTTCACAGTAGCTATTGACTTCACAGCTTCCAATGGTGAGGCATGGATGAGGGAACAAGGGGGAGGTGGGAAAGGACATCTAAGGGAGTCATTAGGAAGTGGTCTGGATTCTTACCTAGGGATAAGAGTTTACCTACCCAAGAAGCCCAGACTTAGGCAAAACCCAGCCAGGAAAATAGAGTGCAGAGAAATAGATGGGTAGATGGATCATGGAAGGTTGAAAGGATAGATAGCTCAACAGGTGGATAAGTAGACTCATGGATGAGAGAGAAACGGGGTATAAGGAGAGATGGATAGGTGAATAGGTGGTGAGTCATGAATGGATGCATAGATCCATGAAGAAATGGAGTGAGTAGATGGGTTGGTGAGTAAGTATAATAGGTTAGACAAGTAGATGCATGGATGGGTATGTGGGTGGACAAATGGACCAAAGTTTAAGTTGGGGAAATAACAAGTAATTAGCTAGGGGAAATGCATGAGTGGATGGATCCCTATGAGAATAGACAAGAGAATGAATGGAATGGAGAGGGCTGGCTAGCTGGATGGATAAAATAATATTGCTATGTAAGTGAATGGCAAATGAACAAAAATGGCAAGTGGACAAGTGGGTAGGTGGGTGGGTGGATGGATGGACAGATGGATGGATGAGTGCATAAGTGGATGGCTGTATAAAAGAATGGAGAGATTACTGGATAAAGATGCATAAGTAGACTTAAATATAGATCTATAACCAGGTAGATGGGTGGATGGATGTGTGGGTAGGTAGGTAAATGGATAAATAGGTATAGGGATGGGTGGGTGGACACATGGATAAATGAACAAATGGATGATTGGGTAAAATAAGGAGGGAGGGCATGAGTAGAGGGCAGGTAAATGGATATAGGTGAATGAATGCACACAAAGATAAGCAGGTGAACAGATGGATGATCCAATGATCATGAGGCTGGGGTTCCTGTGTCCCTACAGGGAATCCTCTGCAGCCTACCTCCCTGCACTACATGAGTCCCTACCAGCTCAGCGCCTATGCCATGGCCCTCAAGGCAGTGGGAGAGATCATCCAGGACTATGACAGTGACAAGCTCTTCCCAGCTTACGGCTTTGGGGCCAAGCTGCCCCCAGAGGGACGGATCTCCCACCAGTTCCCCCTGGTATGGTATGGGCCAGAGCCTACCCTCCATTCCCTGGCATCTGGCCCATCCAAGTTGATGATTTTTTTCTGTTTACATTTCTTCAAAGGGCATGCAGAGGAACAGGAAGCTATGAGAGGATAGCAGAGCAGGGAGGGGAGCAGGGCTGGATTTGGAGGGGAGCATGAAAGGGACTGAAGGAAAATGGAAGGAGTGAGCTGGGATCAGAGCACTCCTGGGTGTACCCTGCATGGGCTCAGCCTAGCAGGGCATATTCTTTGACAGAACAACAATGATGAAGACCCCAACTGTGCGGGCATTGAGGGTGTGCTGGAGAGCTATTTCCAGAGTCTGCGCACAGTGCAGCTCTATGGGCCCACCTACTTTGCTCCTGTCATCAACCAAGTGGCCAGGTAAGGAAACTGGTTGGGGGTGGGGGAAATGAGGGGACTCACATAAGGGACTCTCTCCCCAAGGATAGTCAGGAGCACTCTAAGTAATGTAGAATGATTTAAAGTATACAGGAAAGGCCAGGCACGGTGGCTCACACCTGAAATCCCAATACTTTGGGAGACTGAGGCAGGAGGATCACTTGAGCCTAGGAGTTCAAGACCAACCTGGGCAATATAGTGAGACCCCATCTGTCACTCTCTCTCTTTTTTTTCCTTTTTTCTTTTGAGACAGTCTCACTCTGTTGCCAGGCTGGAGTGCAGTGGCATGATTTCAGCTCACTGCAACCTCTGCCTCCCAGGTTCAAGCACTTCTCCTGCCTTACCCTCCCAAATGGCAGGGATTACAGGCACGCACCACCATGCTCAGCTCATTTTTGTGTTTTTAGGAAAGATGGGGTTTCACCATGTTGGCCAGGCTGGTCTTGAACCCCTAACCTCAGGTGTTCCACCCGCCTCAGCCTCCCAAAGTGCTGGGATTACAGGTGTAAGCCACCATGCCTGGCTCATTTTTTCAAAATTAAATATTTAAATTAAACAAGTAAAATATACAGGAGGATGTGTATAGGTTATATGCAAATACTACACCATTTTACATAACGAACTTGAGCATCTGAGGAGTTTGGTATCCACAGGGCTCCTGGAACCAATCCCCTGTGGATACTGAGAGATGACTATGCCTTATTATAGGGCAGAAAGGATATCAGCAAATTACCCTAACCCCACAGCTTAAGAATGACAACCCAACCCCTGAGTTTGGGTAAGAGAGAGAAGAGCCTACAGCACAGTGGTGAAGACCTAAGTTTTAGCATCAGACCTGAATGTGATCCTAGCTCCACCACTCACTAACTATGTGACCTTAAGCAACTTAGCCTCTTTAAGCATCCACTTCATCTCTGTAAGGTGGTGCAATAATGGATGACAATAGCAGCTTCCTTACAGAGTTATTGCAAGGTTAAAATTAGATAACAGTGTAAGAAGTATTAGTGCAGTGTCTGGCCCATGGTATGTGCTCAATAAATGGTAGGTTAAAAACTTGAAGAGTGGGCCGGGCGCGGTGGCTCAAGCCTGTAATCCCAGCACTTTGGGAGGCCGAGGCGGGTGGATCACGAGGTCGAGAGATCAAGACCATCCTGGTCAACATGGTGAAACCCCCTCTCTACTAAAAAAATACAAAAAATTAGCTGGGCATGGTGGCACATGCCTGTAATCCCAGCTACTCAGGAGGCTGAGGCAGGAGAATTGCCTGAACCCGGGAGGCGGAGGTTGCGGTGAGCTGAGATCGCGCCATTGCACTCCAGCCTGGGCAACAAGAGCGAAACTCCGTCTCAAAAAAAAAAAAAAAAAAAAAAAAAACTTGAAGAGTGACTGTCCAAATTTTCAGAATAAAAATAAACAAAGCAAAGAAAACCCAGATCATATATCGAATGACTTAAAAAACCAAAAAGGGTATTAAAATGAATTTAAAACAAATTTATGAAATGACAGAAATAAAACCAAATGTATGTCAATAAACACAAATAAGACAAGCTCTGTTTGACCTTAAAAAAGAAAAACATTATTTGATTGAATCGAAAATCAGCAAACTCCACTTTATAGTAAACAGAAGAAACCCAGCTAACACAAATCACCTCAGAAAGCTTAGAGGTAAAAAGATGAAACAAAAAGGGAATAGAAGTGGAAGGATTTCAGTGAGATTTATATGTCCATAGACTTTTTTCCCTAGCAAAGATTTATTTTTTTTTTAAGTTCAGGAATACATGTGCTATATAGATAAACTTGACACATGAGGGTTTGTTGTGCAGATTATTTCATCACCCAGATATTAATTCTAGTAGATTTGTTTATTTTCTAATTTGTAGTAATGATAATAGATTCTTTAATATTAACCGTAGAAAATTTCAGTAATCAAGAAATCACCCTGAATACTGCCCATGGAATGTGGATGTATATACAGTTCTTTTTCCTATGCATCCACAACTATACTCAAATTATTATGCATATAACATTTCATTACTGTTTTTTTTTTCACTAATACTAGAATGTGAGCATATTTTTTATTTTTATTTATTTTTATTTTTATTTTTTTGAGATAGAGTTTCGCTCTTGTTACCCAGGCTGGAGTGCAATGGCACCATCTCGGCTCACCGCAACCTCCACCTCCTGGGTTCAAGCAATTCTCCTGCCTCAGCCTCCTGAGTAGCTGGGATTACAGGCACGTGCCACCATGCCCAGCTAATTTTTTGTATTTTTAGTAGAGACAGGGTTTCACCATGTTGATGAGGATGGTCTCAATCTCTTGACCTCGTGATCCACCCACCTCGGCCTCCCAAAGTGCTGGGATTACAGGCTTGAACCACCGTGCCCGGCCTTATTTTTTATTATTAAGCAGACTTCTTAAATACTATCTTATGCAACTACACTAATTTAAAATTCATTCGTTCATTTAGTAAACATTCAGTAAAGGGGCAATGTGCCATGAGTGTGGGCTCTGGAGCCAGACTACCCAAGTTAACACACTGGTTCTATCACTCGCCAGCTGTGGCTTTGGTCCAAGACTCTTAACCTCTCTGTGCCTCATTCCTTATTTGTAAAATGAGGAAAATAACAATGTCTACTTCATCGGGTTGTTGTGAGGACTAACTAATTAATATATGTCAAGCACCTAGAACAGTGCCTGCCACATCATAAGTACTCTAGGTGTTTGCTATTACTGTTACTATTATTATCATTATTACTATTCAAAGGGCATCTGCTGTGTGCTCAGTTCTCTGCTGGGGCACTGAAGATTCACAGATGAATCAGATCTAGTCCCTGCCCCTGGGAGCTCCTGCCTTGGTGCAGGAGACAGAAATATAAATAAATCATTACCTTCTGTAGACCAGAGCTTCCCAGACTTTTCTAGCAAGTAGTCTGTCGGCAAAGGCAAGCGACAGCGTCCCTCTGGGGGAATCTGGGGGCATAGCCGAAAGCAGCCAGGCTGAAAATGTCTTTGAAGTTTCTGTATTTCATCTTAAAAATTCATGCAAATTTTATATTCTTCTCACATTGCATCCATGTTTAATTTAGGGAAAAAAGGTGTCTTAAGTGTAGTTATAGTCATCTAGCTTTATCCAGCAGATCATGCAGTGAGAACCCACTTAGAGGAGCAGAGAGCCCATCTTGGTGGGTGAGGCAGTATCCAAGAGAGAGGGGAAAGGGTATAGGGTCCAGTACCATAAAGGGTACTGCTCAGCTGGGTCTAGAGGATGAAATAGACTTTAGCACTGAATCAGAAGCAGAGTAGGCCTGGAAGAAGGAATGGCATGTGAAAAACACAGAGGCATGAAGGAGCAAGTTCATGAAACAGTGAAGAGTTTAGTAAGACTAGAGTGTGCAGTGTATACAGAGGACTATCCAGAGAATGGGCTGGGGATGGACAGTGAGAGAAGCAAGAACTCCAGCCTTAGGCTCAGCTGGTGAGCATGGGCTTGGACCCCAGCTTTTAACCCCTTGGGGATGCTAATTAATGTCTCTAAGCTTCAGTTTCCTCATTTTTTTTTTTTTTTTTTTTTGAGACGGAGTTTCGCTCTTGTTACCCAGGCTGGAGTGCAATGGCGCGATCTCGGCTCACCGCAACCTCTGCCTCCTGGCTTCAAGCAATTCTCCTGCCTCAGCTTCCTGAGTAGCTGGGATTACAGGCACGTGCCACCATGCCCAGCTAATTTTTTGTATTTTTAGTAGAGACGGGGTTTCACCATGTTGACCAGGATGGTCTCGATCTCTCGACCTCATGATCCACCCACCTCGGCCTCCCAAAGTGCTGGGATTACAGGCTTGAGCCACCGCGCCCGGCCCAGTTTCCTCATTTTAAAAATAGGAACTTTTTTTTTTCTGAGATGGAGTCTTGCTCTGTCACCCAGGCTGGAGTGCAGTGGTGTGATCTCGGCTCACTGCAATCTCCACCTCCCAGGTTCAAGCAACTCTTCTGCCTCAGTCCCATGAGTTGCTGGTATTACAGGCACCTGCCATCATGCCTGGCTAATTTTTGTATTTCTAGTAGAGATGGAGTTTTGCCAGATGTAGGCCAGGCTGGTCTTGAACTCCTAACAGGTGTGGATCCACACCCTTGGCCTCCCAAAGTGCTGGGATTACAGGCATGAGCCACTGTGCCCAGCCCTAAAAATAGGAATTTTTAAAGTGCCTACCTAATAGAATGGCGGTGAGGATTAAATTAGATCATGTATGTCAAGTGTGCAGCTGTGATTTTGATGATCACAAAGGACTCCATTGTTCCCCACTCTATAGCCAAGTGAGGCACTGATTGGCCTCCCCTGGCCATTCACACATTTCCTCAGCTAACTTCCAGATCAAAATAGCCTTGAGAATGCAAGGCATCTACAAGGAACCAAAGATACACCTCCTGTGCCCCCAAACCCTTCCATGATGTCCACTGTCCCGTCTCTTCTATAGTTTTTTGTTGTTGTTGTTGTTGTTTTTAAGACAGAGTCTTACTCTGTCACCCAGGCTGGAGTGCAGTGGCACCATCTTGGCTCACTGCAACCTCTGCCTCCCAGGTTCAACCAATTCCCTGCCTCAGCATCCCGAGTAGCTGGGATTACAGGTGCCTGCCACCACGCCCAGCTAATTTTTGTCTTTTTAGTAGAGATGGTGTTTCACCATCTTGGCCAGCCTGGTCTTGAACTCCTGACCTTATGATCCACCCACCTTGGCCTCCCAAAGTGCTAGGAATACAGGCATAAGCCACTGCACCTAGTTTTTTTGTTTTGTTTTGTTTTGTTTTTTAAGAGACAGGGTCTCACTCTGTCATCCAGGCTGAAGTGCAGTGGTACCATTCGAGCTCACAGCAGCTTTGAATTCCTTAGCTCAAGTTATCCTCCCTCCCACCTCAGCGTTCCAAGTAGCTAAGACCACAGGTGCATGCCACCATGCCAGGCTAATTTTGTTATTTTTTGTAGAGACAGGGTCTCCCTATGTTGCCTAGCTGGTCTCAAACTCCTGGGCTCAAGGGATCCTCTGATCTCGGCCTCCTGAAGCAGTGAGATTTCAGATGTGAGCCACCAGGTCCAGCTTTCTCTGCTAGGGTTCTACATGCAATTCCTCGTGGTTTGCACTTGCCATTCTCTCTCTCTGGAATGCTTTTCCCTTTACCTTCCCATCCTCATCACCCCACCCTACTCCCCATCACCACCTGGCTAAACCCAACTCATTTTTCAGGTCTTAGGTTAGATGTTACACCCTCAAAGCCTGACCTCAATGTATTTTAGAATTCAGGCTGAGGCTGAGGCCACCTTGGCCTCCCAAAGTGCTGGGATTATAGGCATGAGCCACCACACCCAGCCAGCCACCATGCCTGGCCATGACCCTCCTTTACATTACCTACTCACTTCCTGAATTCTGGCCCCAGCCTCCTCAGAGACATGGCTTGGTACCTTTTCCTGTCACTTACTCATTTCACAAATACCAACTGCATACCTAACATGTATCAGGCACCAAGCTGGGTGCTGAGCAGGCTGCAGATAATAGGATATTGTTCTAGGGGAGAGAGAGGTTTAAACTACTAAAATGCATTGAGGTTAGGCTTTGAGGATGTAACATCTAATCTAAGACCTGAAAAATGAGGTTAGGAGTTCAAGACCAGCATGGACAACATGGTAAAACACCGTCCCTACTAAATATATAAAAATTAGCCAGACGTGATGGTGAGCACCTGTAATCCCAGCTAATCAGGAGGCTGAGGCTGGAGAATGGCTTGAACCTGGGCAACAGAGTGAGACTCTGTCTCAAAAAAAGAGAGAATCATGACCCATTCCCACTCAGCCTAGGCAAACTGAGCCAAAATTATTTTATTTAATTAATTTATTTTTTGAGACAGAGTCTTCCTCTGTCACCCAGGCTGGAGTACAGTGGTGAGATCTCAGCTCACTGCAGCCTCTGCCTCCGGGGTTCAAGCAATTCTCCTGCTTCAGCCTCCCAAATAGCTGGGACTACAGGCACACGCTGCCACACCCAGATAATTTTTGTATTTTTAGTAGAGATGGGGTTTCACCATGTTGGCCAGGATGGTCTTGATCTCCTGACCTCATAATCCGCCCACCTCAGCCTCCCAAAGTGCTGGGATTACAGGCATGAGCCACCGTGCCCGGCCTATTTTTACTTTTATTTTATTTGGGGTCTTACTCTTTCTCCTTGACTGGAGTGCAGTGGTGCAGTCATGGCTCACTGGGCTCATGTAATCCTCCTGGCTCAGCCTCCCGAATAGCTGAGACTATAGGCATGTGCCACCAAGCCCAGCTAATTAAAATTTTTTTGTGTAGAGACCAGGTCTCATTATGTTGCCCAGGCTGTTCTCAAACTCTTGGCCTCAAGTGATCCTCCTGCCTCAGCCTCCCAAAGTGCTAGGATTAAAGGCGTGAGCCACCCCACCTGTCCCCAAAGCTATTTTATAATTCTACAACCTCTCCATGCCTCTCCTCACATTTTGAGATCAGTTTTCTATACAGCACCGTCCAATAGCACTTTCTGCAATGATGGAAATGTTCTGTATCTATGCTGGCCAATATCGTATTCACCAGCCACATATGGATGTGGAGCACTTGAAAGTAGCTAGGGTGACCAAGGAACTGCATGTTTAACTCTATTTAATTTAAATTTCAATGGCTACATGCAGCTAAGGCTACCTTATTGGACAGTATAGCTCCATCCTTTCCAATCCACACAGGCCTGGAGACTGGAAGTCAAGAGACCAGGGTCTGCCACTGCCTTTGTGTCCTCTCTAGGTCTGTTTTTTAAAATATGCAAAATAAAGGGACCGGACTCAATGACTTCTGCAGTCCTTTTCAGATGAGAAACAATCTTGGATTCAAAGACTAGTGAGAGCGGGAAAAGGAGCCTTGGAAGCAGCTATTAGACTGGCTGGGGAGGACTGCATGGGACCCAGCAGCCCAGGCAATGACATGTGGTCAGCAGAGGGAAGAAGGGAGAAAGAAATGGGAGAGACAGGGAAGCAAGGAAGCCTTCAGCCTTTCCTCTTGCTCATGTATAAACATCAAAATCTTGCCAGGGGTTGATAAATCTCTGTCGGGTCTAAGCTCTATGCTCCCTCAGCCACATGGCCCAGTCTGCTTCCCTTAATTTCTGTCCTCCAGACAGGGGAGCTGTCCTTTAGTCCCACTACAGCGTCTTTGTCCTTGCTGTTCCCTCTTCCTAGAAAGATCCCTCTCCTCTTTCACTTAGCCCCTCTATCCTCAAACATCACTTCCTTAAAGAAGCCTTCACTGACTTTCTGGGTCACATCAGGATCCTTTCTTTTTATTTACTCTTTTTTTTTTTGAGATGGAGTCTTGCTGTGTCCCCCAAGCTGGAGTGCAGTGGTGTGATCTGGGCTCACTGCAACCTCTGCCTGCTGGGTTCAAGCAATTCTCCTTCCTCAGCCTCCTGAGTAGCTGGGATTACAGGCATCCACCACTGTGCCCAACTAATTTTTGTATTTTTCATAAAGACAGGCTCTCACCATGTTGGCTAGGCTGGTCTTGAACCCCTGGCCTCAAGTGATCCATCCACCTTGGCCTCCCAAAGTGCTGGGATTACAGGTGTGAGCCACTGCACCCGGCCAGGATCCCCCCTTGTACCCTGTCATAGCAGTGTCCCTTCCGTCACAGCACTCATCACAGTGGTAATTTTACACCTTTTTGTGTGATTCTTGGATTAATGTCTGCCTCACTCCAGGGGGCTGAGAGGGATTTATTTTTTTCTCCTCATGTATTTTCAGTGCCTACCGTAGTTAAGTGCTCAATAAATATTACTGAAGGCAGATCAGGTACGGTGGCTCACGCCTGTAATCCCAGCACTTTGGGAGGCTGAGGCGGACAGATCACTTGAGGTCAGGAGTTTGAGACCAGCCTGGCCAACATGGTATAACCCCATCTCTACTAAAAATACAAAAAACAGCTAGGCATGGTGGCGCATGCCTGTAGTCCCAGCTACTCTGGAGGCTGAGGCAGGAGGATCACCTGAGCCTGGGGTAGGCGGAGGTTGCAGTGAGTTGAGATCACACCACTGCACTCCAATCTGGAAAACAGGGTGAGACACTGTCTCAAAAATACACACACACACACACACACACACACACACACACATACACACACATATTGAGAGAAAGAGAAAGGGAGGCAGGCAGAGGCAGGGGCAGGCTGCCAGGTCTGGGGAAGGAGCATGGGTTTCAGAAGCTCCCACTGTCCACCACTGGCTGTGGAAGCTCTGGAGGTAAGGTGTTCCTTTGGCCTGTCTGGCTTTCAGCTGGATTCTGATTTGGCCTCTCATCCAGGGCTGCAGCCAAGATCTCTGATGGTTCCCAGTACTATGTTCTACTCATCATCACTGATGGGGTCATCTCTGACATGACGCAGACGAAGGAGGCCATCGTCAGTGTGAGTCTGAAGAGGAGGGCTTGGCAGGGAAGAGTAATGTTAATACTGTGAAGAGGCAAGATTTTATCCTCCTTGCAAGATAACAAGTTAGCCTGCCAGTTTCATGTATGCTGGCAGAAGACGCAAGAGTCTTGGATTAGAGACAGAGGACTTTGATTTCTAGCAAAAGCAGTAGCTGGAGTATTAGCATTTGCTTGAATTCTCTAAGTCCTGGTTCCCACTGGATGATGTGAAGAGGGACAGATGACACTTGCAGCCACTGTGGGTTGCATTACAGAAAAGGAACCCTGAGCATAGGGAATTTGAGTCTTTTACAATGGGCAGTAAGCATGCTTGCCTTTTGTTCCAAAGGTCTCCAGTGAGACCTTTTTTAAAAACTATGTTAGACAGTAAGCAAATATGCCCTGTGCTCTAGAGGAACATACTGAATCTTTCTTTTTTTGTTTTGTTTGTTTGTTTGTTTTTCCTGAGACAAAGTCTCGCTCTGTCGCCCAGGCTGGAGTGCAGTGGTGTGATCTTGGCTCACTGCAACCTCCACCTCTTGGGTTCAAGTGATTCTCCTGCCTCAGCCTCCCGAATAGCTGAGATTACAGGTGCCCACCACCATGCCTGGCTAATTTTTTGTATTTTTAGTAGAGACAGGGTTTTACCATGTTGGTCAGGCTGGTCTCGAACTCCTGACCTCGTGATCCACCTGCCTTGGCCTCCCAAAGTGCTGGAATTACAGGCCTGAGCCACTGCGCCCGGCAATGCTGAATCTTTCAAGGCTGACTGATACAGAAACATCCTTGAAAAAGTAGTATGGGTCAGAGAGAATCAATGCCTCTGCTTGCAAGATGTGCAGAACCATGACACACATACACGGAGAACTTTCTCCTAACAGTTACCTCCCTGGTGATGGCTGCTTGCCCCAACGGTTCACCCTCTTTCTCCCACAGGCCTCCTCACTGCCCATGTCTATCATTATCGTCGGTGTAGGACCGGCCATGTTTGAGGGTGAGTACGATGGGGTGTCCCTGAATGGGACTAAGAACTGAGGAGAAAAGTGGGAAGGGGTTGGGTACTTGGGCTTGCCTCACAGAAGAGACAAGGTAGATACCCCTGTGGAGCCTTGACCAAGTAACAGACCTTCTTTGAACCTGCTTCCTTATCAGAACCAAGGCTGATGATACTAATACTTCCCCCTGGGGTTCCTGGGAGGATGGACTTTGTGGAAGGCATAGGACTTGAACACTAGCATTAAGAATTCTCCTGATGACTCCAAAGCAGAGCTCAAAGGGAGGGGGCAGCATGGGGTATGCTGGAGAGGCATTCAGCTGAGGGGTGTCTTTTCTGCAGCAATGGAAGAGTTGGACGGTGATGATGTGCGCGTGTCCTCTAGGGGACGCTACGCAGAGCGGGACATCGTTCAGGTAGACCTGACCTGGGAGAGATTGTGGAGCTGAGAGGCACAGTGAGAAGAAGAGGCTAAATTGGGAGCCACTCACACTTGTTACCTTCTCAGTCTCCTACTTTCTTCCCTGTCACTCTTTCATTCTTTCTCATTCCTTGAATACATCCTTTCTGACAAATAGGAAGGTTGCTGCAGCCTTGGTACATCCATGGTGTAGGTCGGGAGATCCCCAAGGCTCCTGCCCTCTAGTGGAGGCAACCAACAATAAATAATCACACAAATAAATATCTCATTTGATTGTGATAAGCACTCCAGAGGAATAGCAAATGCCACTGTGAGAGCCTGTAACAGAGACCTAACATAGGTACAGTAGTCAGGAAAGGGTTATTTAGCTTACTGAGACCTAAGGGAGGGGATAAGCATTACCCGGAGAGGAGCAGCATGTGAGAAGGCTCTGGGGCTCAGAAGAACTGGCCCAATCAATGAAAAAGCAGAAGCTAGGGTGGGTAGCAGGTGAGTGTGAGATGGCAGGCTGAATTTGGGGGTTAGTTATAAAAGAACTGAAAAGCTCTTAAAGGATTTTACATACGATAGTGAGATGGTCAGACTTGCATTTTTAAAGGATCTCTCTAGCTGCTGCATGGAGAGTGGACAGCAGCAGGGCAAGAGAGAAGGCAGGTAGATCCATTAGTGAGGAAGCCTTTGAAGTAGTAGAGGGGAGGTGATAGAGATATGGCTGAAACAGTGGGGAGGGAGAGAAAGTGGTGGACTCAAAAGATATTTAAGAAGAAAATGTTACAAGACCTGATGATTAGATGATGATGGGGAATGAGGAAGGCTTCGAGGATGACTCAGTATTCCTGCTTAAGCAACTGGGTGAATGACATACCATTTGCTGGGAAGGGGAAAGCTAGAGGAGGAGATTTGGCAGACAGAGCTAGAATTCAGTTATGAACATACATACATTGGGTTCAAAGTATCTGTGACAACTGAATGGAGAGGTAATACGGGCAACTAAATATGTGGCTCTGGACTTTAAAAAGAGGTCAGGGATGAGCCCAAGCATGGTGGCTCGTGACTATAATCCCAGCACTTTGGGAGGCCAAGACAGGAGGACCTCTTTGAGACCAGGAGTTTTGAGACCAGCTTGGGTAACATAGCAAGACCTGATCTCTGCTACATTAGAAAAAAAAAAAAAAAAAAAAAAAAAAAAAAAAGGCTGCGCGTGGTGGCTCACACTTGTAATCCCAGCACTTTCGGAGACTGAGGTGGGTGGATCACCTGAGGTCAGGAGTTTTGAGACCAGCCTGACCAACATGGAGAAACCCTGTCTCTACTACTAAAAATACAAAATTAGCTGGGTGTGGTGGTGCATGCCTGTAATCCCAGCAACTCGGGAGCCTGAGGCAGGAAAATCACTTGAGCCTGAGAGGTGGAGGTTGCAGTGAGCCAAAATGGTGACATTGTACTCCAGCCTGGGCAGCAAGAGTGAAACTCCATCTCAAAAGGAAAAATACAAATTAAATAAAAATAAAGCATAATTTTTTGAAAAGAGGTCATGATAGATATATAAATTTGGCAGTCATCAGGAAACAGAATTTTTTTAAATTCTCCCCTTTCTTATCAGCTCCTCTCCCCCAACACCTCGTTTCTTCTTCTCCTCTCCCCAACTCCCTCTCCTAGCCCTCTCTCTTTTCCCAGCCCCTTCTCACAGACTCCTCTTCCTTCTTGCCGCAACTCCATCTCTCTGGGCTCCTCCTGTTCTCAGGATCCGTTCTCCCTGGTCCCTGCCCCTTGTCTCCCCTGCTCCCTCCTTTCCAAGTCTCCCTCCCTACTTCCTGGCCTGCTCTACTTCCCTCCAGGGAACAATTTTTAAAGTCATGGATGTGTATGAAACCATCCAGAAAGAGAGCTGAGAGAGAGAAGGGACCAGGTTTAGAGAGCAAGTAGACCCAGAGGAATGGTGGTGGGAGTAGGGAGCTTCAAGAAAGGTAAGCAAGAAGCCAGAAGAGTGTGGTGTTAAGAGTGGGATGCGTCCAGAAGAATTATAGTCAAATGCAATGGAAAACTAAACAGAAGTCAAACAAGATGAGGACTAAAAATTACTGTTCATGGCCGGGCGCGGTGGCTCACGTCTGTAATCTCAGCACTTTGGGAGGCCGAGGCGGGTGGATCACGAGGTCAAGAGATCGAGACCATCCCGGTCAACATGGTGAAACCCCGTCTCTACTAAAAATACAAAAATTAGCTGGGCATGGTGGCGCACGCCTGTAGTCCCAGCTACTCGGGAGGCTGAGGCAGGAGAATTGCTTGAAGCCAGGAGGCGGAGGTTGCAGTGAGCCGAGATCGCGCCATTGCACTCCAGCCTGGGTAACAAGAGTGAAACTCCGTCTCAAAAAAAAAAAAAAAAAAATTACCGTCCACTGGACTGATTTAGCAACACGGGGCCACTGACGACATCAGCAAGAGCAGCTTCAATGGACTGTGTGAAGCCAAACTGGAATGGGTTGAGGGTGAATAGAAGGTGGAAAAAAAAGTGGGTGGAAAGACAGCAAATGTAGAAAACTGTTTAAGATGTGGGGAGGGAGATACTGGGATAGTTGGAAAGAGAAGTTGGGGATCAAAAAAGAAGCCTCCCTGCTGCACCGCCATGCTCTCTCTCCTGGTCATGGCTTATATCTTCTTGTCTGTGCCTGACCCAGTTCGTCCCATTCCGAGACTATGTTGACCGGTCGGGGAACCAGGTGTTGAGCATGGCCCGACTGGCCAAGGATGTGCTGGCTGAGATCCCGGAGCAGCTGCTGTCCTATATGCGTACCAGAGACATCCAGCCTCGGCCCCCACCCCCTGCCAACCCCAGCCCGACTCCAGCTCCAAAGCAGCCCTGAGGATTCCACATATCCAATGCCTCACAGTCTGCTCACCTGTTCACCCACTGCTTCTGCTTTAAGCCAGAGGCACCTGGAACCCTGGACCGAGGGCCAACTTGGAGGATTAGTGCTGGCTGACAAGCCCTCCACCTCCTTGCCTGCAGAAGGGCCTGGCACTATCACCACCTCCCTGCCTTCATGCCAATAATAAAGCTGATCTTTACTCCACCTCTGTTTCATGCGTCTTGGGGAAGGAAGGAAGACTATGGGACCCAAGCCTGGGGCCGCATCAAGAGGAAGGGAACCAGGATGCCTTCAGCTAGGTTCATCCCCATCCTAACATGTTCATCCAACACGTCTTCATACATTCTTCAAAGAGTTTAATAAGTGAAACTTTGTATGTTTTTCCTCAGGAGAGAGGCTCATAGTTGTTTTTTCATAAAATCCAGATCCTGCACATGGCCCATACTTTTCACCAGATTCTCAAACAAATTCCTGACAACTAAAGGAGATGACTTTGTACAACTCTATTTTGATCCGTTTATTCTGAATTATTATTATTTTTGAGATGGAGTTTTGCTCTTGTTGCCCAGGCTGGAGTGCAATGACGTGAACTTGGCTCAACGCAATCTCCACCTCCCGGGTTCAAGCGATTCTCCTGCCTCAGCCTCTGTAGTAGCTGGGATTACAGGCGCCCACCACCACACTTGGCTAATTGTGTATTTTTAGTAGAGACCGGGTTTCTCCATTTGGTCAGGTTGGTCTCAGACTCCCGACCTCAGGTGATCTGCCTGCCTCGACCTCCCAAAATGCTGGGATTACAGATGTGAGCCACCACGCCCGGCCTTCTGAATTCTTTTAATAAGGATAACAGCTAACATATTCTTTAAACATTCGCTACATATCAAACCGTGTGCTAGGTGATTTACAAGCATCATCTCATTTAATTCTCACAACTGTGTGAGAACAAGTACCATATACTATTCCCACTTTACACATAAGAAAACTGAGGCTCTGAGAGGATGAGTCATTTGTTTAAGAGAATTCATCAGTTTGACTTCAGATCCCAAGATCTTAATCAGCAAATATCTTCCCGGTATGTCGATTTTATTGGGATGGTTTATAGGAAACATACATTTTAGTGGGTCAAATGCAAAGCTTGCATTAAGATAGAAGCTTTCAGATGCTTTGGGCTTTGTCCCAGAACCCTGGAAGACCCTTTCATGCTCCTCTTTAATGACAAAACTGGAGAAGCATTGTTTAAGGATGTCTCCCCTGCCATCCAAGTTCTCTGAAACCCTCAAGAACCAGCCAATAGAATTTTCCAGCTCCATTTTACAAATAAGAAACTTGAAGAACGGATCTTGTCCACGTTCACACTGCTAGGAGGTGACCCATTCACATTAAATCCGCTGTTTTGGCACCATCTTCCAACCATTAACCCGGAGCACATTCCTGCCAACCCACAGAGATCTCACCGCTTTACCAGACATAATCCCTTTCACATCCATCGGCCCCAAACCCAGCCCTTTCCCTCAGACCCATACCTTTTCTCTAGCATTTTTACTTTTCCGAGTTTCTTCTCTTGTCTTTGCGTCACGCCCCGTTATCCCTAATCGGTCCCGCCTTCCCCTCCTAGCTCCGCCCCCTGCCTCCCCAAGCTCCGCCCGCTCCCTTCAACATCGCGTCGTTTTTTCCAGTTCTGTTCTTTATTCCTAGTGCAGCTCCACTTTCCAGGTCATCCAAAGCTCCGCCCTTTCTCTCCCAAGTACTCCTCTTCTGTTTAGCCCCACTTCTTACCCCGCTATTCTAGCAGGGCTCCCCTGTACAGTAGCACCGCCCCCGCCCCACAAGCCCCGCCCCACAAGTCCCGCCCCACAGGCCGATCTAGTCTCCAGCCCTGCCCACGCCCTACCCATAACTTCTAGTCCCCTTAGGCTCCAGCCTGCGTCCCTCTTGCTCCGGGCCCTGCCCCCAGCCCCGCCCGTTACTCTGGCCCCGCCTCACCGCCTTCCTCGGAGACTAAGGCCAGGTCCCTCCCGCAGCCGCGGCGCCAGCAGGAGGCAGGGCGCGTAGAGGGAGGACGCAGAGGGGGAGGGGAGAAGGGCGGGCTCCTCACGCCCAGCCCTGCGCTCACCGTCCGTGGCTGCAGATTCGCCACAAAGCGCCCGACGACCCCAGGTCCTGAGTACGGCGACTTGAGTCTCCAGAAACTCCATTTTAAGATGGAAGAGCTAGAGGAGCCCTTTGGGTGTCTAGGGTCCTTTCTGAATTTCAGAGAACGGTCTCTCGAGCCTCAGCGGACGGGCAGGGATACGTGGCGAAAGTGCAGCACAACAGCGCTGCGAAGCCACGTTTACCCTGCGCAGACGCCGTCGCCGCCGCTGCTGCCGCCGCCGCTGCCACAGCCTTTGCCGCCACGGTCTCCGCCGCCGCTGTCCTCGCGCTGCCTCTGGGAGCCCCCATTGTTCCAGCGGCGCCCGGTCCCAAGGCTAGGCATCCTAGGGGCCCGCGAAACGGGCGGCGGTCGACGGAGTTGAGACCCCGGGGCGCCGGCGGGACCGGGAGCAGCAGGGGTCAGCGCAGGAATCCCCGGGAGCCGGGGCCACAGCGTGGGGCGGCAGGGGGCCGGGGTGGCGAGATCTACAGTCTCCGGAGTTGGGGCTCCCCCTTCCCAGCCCGACTTTCCCCGCCGGCCTCCCCAAGTGGGGTCGGAGCCCCGGCGGGCGCCCCCGGCGATGAGCCCGGACTCGAGGTGGCCGGTGAGTGCGGGCCTGGGACCAGGGCGGGAGTGGCCGGCAGGGAAGGGATAGTCTGCGTTCGTGGGGCGCGCACTGAGCCGCGTGGCCCGGGAGCCTCTCTGGCAACTCCAGCTGGGAGAACTGACAGTGCATTGGTTCCCAACAGCCATCCCGGGGCAACAGTGTATCTTTCGGGGCTGCCCGGGCCAGTGGCAGGAGGGGAGCCTTGTTTCACTTGTTACATTTCGACAAAGGGGAAACGCCACCACATCCGGAGAGTGGGCTGCGGGCACTGCCGGGGCCCAGCCCTATCTCTTCGGCCCCCGCCCCCTGCTTCCTCCAGCCCCCTGAGCTCCTGGGGCAGATGCAACCGCTATACCCCTTGGGCCCTCTCCGCGGGCTTTCTGATCTAAGTTCTTGTCTCCCTCACCTGTGCTTTTGCTGCTGGGTCCCAAGGGGACATTGCTGGGTTCGCTGTGCTACTTTGGGAGCCATTCACCCGGGACCCAGCTTGGAAAGAGGAGAGCTTGTTTGTGCTTCGGTTGGCTTATGTTTATAAAGACACAGCTGCAGGTAGGAAGCAGAAGAGAGTTGCAGTTGGATGTATAGCGTTACAGATGTGAAAGTCAGGAGCCGTTGACAGAGGAGCTGAAGCAGCCCACCTGCCTGGTTAAGGCGCCGGTGGAGAGATCAACGGGGTTATTTTGTCAGGGAGCTCAGGGTAGCTCTGCCCGGCTGGGATGGTGCCAAGCCCCTAGCTGAATTGTTGAACTCAACTAGGCCGAGAGAAATTGGGGCAGTCTCTGACCAAGCTGGGCTTCCTGAGGCCTGGTGCCATCTGCTGTCTACACTCACCCAAGAATGTTGGGGAGGGGGAAGGGAGGGCCCCTGCAGACCAGCATGGAGCTGAGCATGCCTAGATTGTCGTGTTCGTGTTTGTCCCCTTAGGGCCTGGCACTTGGTAGTTACTCAGTTGTTGTTGCATGAATGGGTGAAAGAAGTGCTCAAATGTAATACAGGCTGCTGTCACTGACTAAATGACCTCAATTTTCACTTGGCTTCACGGTACATCTCCTACTCAGTCCCTGAACCAGGCTCCCCATAAAGACCTCAAAAGTAAATGAATTCTTTCTGTGAGCCACTGATTTCTGCAGGAGTCCACGGCTAAATCACTGGCCACCACTAAGCCTTCTACATGGCCTTCATCCCATCTGAGCTCTCAATCTGGTGATCCTCCTTATTCAGCTATTCATTCAACAAGTCATTCATTTGCCAAAAACTGAGTGTCCAGTGCATGCTAGGTACTGGGGATACAGAGGTGGATAGGCTGTGGTGTCTTTACTACACAGCTCCCTGTCTAGAGGGGGAGACAACTTTCAGTATGTCAAGTGCTGTTTTAGAGGTGAAAATGGAATGCTGTGGAAACAGCTCCCCATGGGAGAATCAAAGTAGTTGTGTCAGAAGTGACATTTGAGCTGGTTTTTTGAAGACTGAGTAGGAGCCCACCAATCAGAAAGGAATGAGAGGCTACAACATTCAGGGAATGGCAGGTTCCCCTGTATAGACAGAAACAGCTGTAACTTGTAAAAAGAATCTGGCAAGGAGAACTAGGGCCAGACAGTGAGAAGAGCTCTATCATAGAGAATTTGGAAGATTATCTTGAAGGAACTGGGGAGCATCAGGAGGCTTTTAATGAGGAGACTGGTATCATTGCTGCCTGGTAGAAAGATCACTCTCCAATATGATATGAGATTGGGCTCGAGGAGTTGAGACATAGGGCAGGATGACCAGGCAAGACGTGATGAGGGTCCAGATCTGGGCCATGGTAGAGGAGATGGAATTTGGAGACACTGTAGAGGTAGGCTGGCTAGGACCTGGTGACACCAAGTGAGGGGGAGGACTAGAAAAACCGGGGTCTCTGGTGCAAGTGGCCAGTAACTCGTCTCCAGCCTTATGCTAACTGATCTGTATATTCTAGATGTGACAGCATGGGGGTGGACTTTGATGTGAAGACTTTCTGCCACAACTTGCGGGCGACTAAGCCACCATACGAGTGCCCGGTGGAGACCTGTCGAAAGGTCTACAAGAGTTACAGTGGTATTGAGTACCACCTGTACCACTATGACCACGACAACCCACCACCCCCGCAACAGACTCCACTCCGCAAGCACAAGAAGAAAGGGCGCCAGTCACGCCCAGCCAACAAGCAGTCACCCAGCCCCTCAGAGGTCTCACAGTCACCAGGCCGTGAGGTGATGAGCTATGCGCAGGCCCAGCGCATGGTGGAGGTGGACCTGCATGGCCGTGTCCACCGCATCAGCATCTTTGACAACTTGGATGTGGTGTCAGAGGATGAGGAAGCCCCTGAGGAGGCCCCTGAGAATGGCAGCAACAAGGAGAACACTGAGACGCCAGCTACTACTCCCAAGTCAGGCAAACATAAGAACAAGGAGAAGCGCAAGGACTCCAACCATCACCACCACCACA